TGAAGCCTTTTTTTTTTACACTCGAAAAAAATCTGTTCATTAGTCCTTTCAAGTCCACAAGGTACCTGAGTCACAGAGTGGGCCTGTGAGGTTTTCACTTGGTGAAAAAGAAACCATATTGGATGTCAGAGATTTTACCAGTGAGCTGTGGTAAAGGAAGAGGTCTAGTGGTAGTCAGTGATATGTTGGCATGGCTACCTGGAGATGATAATGTGGCAGGTTTCCACCCCAGCAACCACAGTGCGTGTCTTTCATTCTTCCACCTGCATAAGTTGGCTTCATGGTAAGCAGCATGAGTGTCCTCCACTGCTTCAGATGAAAATCAGGATGGATTCCACTGATGTCAGTGTGGCTGATTTGCTGGAAACTGATCCAAGAGCAGGGCTGAGCCCTGTGCTGAGTGTTGAACCACAGAGCTCCTGTTACAGGGTCAGTGAGATCCTCATGTCCAGCCTACCTGCTCCAAGCAGGGTGAAGTGGAGAATGTTTCTCAGGACCTTGTCCAGTCAGATGTTGAGTATCTCCAAGGATGGAGATTCCCCAATGTCTCTGGACAAGTGATCATATTTGATCACCCTCACATTAAAAAAAACTTGGGCCTTATGTTCAAATGGGATTTCCTGTGTTCCAGTTTTTGTCCATTTCCTCTTGTTCTTTCACTGGACACCATGATGTGCCTTGTGAACCTTGATTTTTGATGTGCTCGGAGCAGCCAACTGTCAGTGAGAAGATGGGAATTACTGCCTCCAGCCACAGGTGCTGTTCACCAGGGATGCTTCAGCTGTTGGGGGATCAAATTAAAGAGTGACTGTCTTGATTTTAGAAACTGACAAGTGTTTGCTGTGCTGTCGAGTCAATGACTGCTGCAGCTGAAGGTACATCAGGCACCAGCTCTCTCTGATTAGGCTTTCCTGATGGTGGTAGACATCCCCTGCAGATACTGTTTATTGCCCTGACACCTGAGGATCATTTTGCCTTGTTTCAGCTGTTGTCTTGCATCTCACTCCTTATTCTTCTGGCTCCCTTGATGTAACTGGACTTCTTTGAACACTAATGTGCTTCTGAATTTGTCAAGGAGTGTTACGAGGTACCAAACTAAACACTCCATGACCCTGACAATGGGAACTCTTCTGAGGGCAGAAAATTTGCCAAGTGCCAACCCTCAGCATGGGGCAGGCCAGGGACAAAGAGGGACACAGTCGAATGCTCTTGTGCAATTTTAGCTGTTCTATATAGAATGCCTTGGGAAGCAAAACACATGTCAGAAGAGCTGTAAATTTGCTTCAATTTATGCTGGGAATTTTTTTGGCTGGAATACGTGGGGACAGGGATTGAAAATTGCAGAGCACAAAACTAGGTCCTGATTTTGTCTATCTAAGAATAGCAGCGTGGCTGTGGTCTCCTCATTCTGTTTGCTCCACCAGTCTGCCTTGGGAAGGCTTTAATCTAAGGCTAATCTATTTTTAGCCTGATATCTTCTCCAGACAATGCGCATCTGTCCTGCGAGTCTTATGCCAGAAATTAGTAACACTTGTATGATTCACAAGTTAGCTGCATTTTTACAGAAAAATTCAGTGGCAAAATACTACTTTTTCACACGTAGCACAGCAGGAAAGCAGGAGATTCAGACTCACTGTGTGTTCATGGTGTGACCTAGACCCAGAGCTGCCCCTTGAACTCAGAGTCAGGAGGTCACAGGTCTGTTCCTGTCTTTGCTGCTTGATTTGGGGCTGGTTCCACCTGTCCTGCTGTCACCATGGTCCCTTGGCAGGGTAAGTGTGGGAGGGCCCGTGTGCTTTCATAGCACCTGCTGAGCTCCCTTGTGAGCCTGTAGAATCATAGATCCCAGACAGGTTTGGGTTGGAAGGGACCTTAAAGACTATCTAGTTCCAAGCCCCCTGCATGGGCAGGGACACCTCCCACCAGACCAGGTTGCTCCAAGCCCCATCCAACCTGCCCTTCAACACTGCCAGGGATGGGGCAGCCACAGCTTCCCTGGGCAACCTGGGCCAGGCTCTCACCACACTCACAGCACAGAATTTTCTCCTCATGTCTCACCTCAACTTCCCTCTTCCAGTTTTAATCCATCCCCCTTGTCCTCTCCCTCCCTGCCCTTGTCCCAAGTCCCTCCCCAGCTTTCCTGGAGCCCCTTCAGGCACTGGAAGGTGCTCTAAGGTCTCCCTGGAGCCTTCTCTTCTCCAGGCTGGACACCCTAACTCTCCCAGCCTGGCTCCAGAGCAGAGCTGCTCCAGCATCTTTGTGTCCTCCTCAGGACTTGCTCCAACAGCTCCATGTCCTTACTGTGTTGATTGCTCTAGAACTTGGCACAGTTCTCCAGGTGGGGTCTCACAACAGCCAAGGGGGACAATCCTGTCCCTGGCCCTGCTTACCAGGCTTCTTTTGATGCAGCCAAGGACACAAGTGGTTTCTGGATTCCAGCACATGGTGCCGTCTCATGCTGAGCTTCTCATCCACCATCACCCCCAAACCCTTCTCTCCAGGGCTGTTACTGATCCATTCTCCACCCAACCAGTGTCTGTGCTTGGTAGTGGTTGTGCAAGATTTAAAAAACAACATCCACACAGCTCAAGCTCTCCCATCAGTTGCTCCAAGTCAAGCATCCCAGTACATGGGAAAAATCAGAATTAATCAACTCCTGGGGCTGTGATTGTATGTTTAGTCAAGGGGAGGGATTTCCTGCTTTTCACCTCACCACTGAAGAGATTTACTTTCTGGTTAAAGTCAAATAAACATATGTAGGATCTGAGTTAATCCGCTTTAGAGCAACATTTCTGGGGAAGAAGTGTGAGTGTTTGGTTAAGGATGGGACCTGGAAGTTGGACTTGGGGTGAGTTCCTACATGAACTTGTAGCTGGGCAGGACAGGACATGTTGGCTTTGGTGCAATACCTCACAAGCTTGACATCTTATACATTCAGTAGTGTTTGTCTGGAGCACTTGATGGCTCACATACGTGTTTCCACTCCTCTCATCTCAGATTCCTGTTAGGTGGTCAAGCTGCCTGTGGTAACAGGGAGGAAAACCCTCAGAGAGTTGCAATGGACTCTGCATGAGCAGCTGCTTCTTGTGGCTGTTTATCCCACCTCAAAAGTATCCTGTCCGTGCAGAAAATTTGGGACCAATAGCAAAGGGGTAAAAACTGCTGAGTAGTTGCTTGTTCTGCAGAAGATCCATTCCTCAACAGAGGAAATAACAGCACCAGCTCTGGCTAATGCTCTCTTCATGTAGCTTAGGCTAAAACAGCAGGAGAGCTGCCTTACTCAGGTGAGTAGGGACTACTTTGCTGCCTGGCCAGCAGGACAGGGTGCAAACCCTGCAGCTGTGTTAACACTGCAGAGTTTTTGGAGGCAGCATTTCCCTCCTCTGGGCCCTTCAAAAAAAAAAAAAAAAACAGGTTAAAATGATGCCAGGGAGAGGAAAGTAAATAACTGCCTGAAGTGCCAGTTTGAGCAGCTGGGTATCAGGTGAGGAGCTGTAACAGAGATCCACTCATCATTCTTTCCTCAGGCAAATATGCCTTGGGCAGTTTTGGAAGTTCTGTCAGCCTGAGTGGGGAGGATGAAGGAGAACCTGCCAGTCCCAGTTTGGCAGATCTTTGTTTTCTGTTTTTATGGAAAGGAAATTTACTTTCTACTTGAAGCAATATTTTGTTCCTCATAATAAAGAGGAGGGAAGAGGGGAGGAAAAACAATTTGAAACATGATAGAGAGGCTAAGTGAGGTTGCTTCAGATTATTTTGTTGTTAATCCATAATCAGAGTTATGCACACATTAGAAAGACCATTGCTGTGTGGAGATTACCAAAGCCTCATACCAAGGTCAGATAGAAGGAAAGCCTTGGTGACGTGGGTGTGGAATTCTATAATGACCACATCTTGTAATCTGGAGACCTTGTGCTTGTCTCCAGGAGGCCTCCTGGAATAGCTCTTTTTTAACTCCATGTGTTTATCCTGCTTCAGTTATGGGATTGGTCATGTTTTATGGTGAAACTGGGGTAAAGAACCCCTATTTTGGAGCAGGAACTCAGCTAGCACTCCTTTCTGTCTTCATTCACCTCCTTCTCATCCAGATGAACTTCCTTTTGGTGGCAAAGTTGGAGTGGTGTGGTGTGTCCCTTCAGCTCAGTGCCAGCGAGAGCAAAAGAGGTTACATTGCCAGACTGTGTGCTCTGTCCCTTCTGGGTGGGCAACAACACACGTTACTCTCAGCAGCTCCAGATCATTCTTGTAAAAATGCAAATACATTGTGTGATAACAGGAATAAGTGAGTTTGTCCCTTGGCAAGGCCAACCCTTCAGCTGTTGTTCTGGCTGTTCCCCTGTGGGTTGGTGGAGTGGCCATCAACATTTATGTTCCAACATACATTTCCCCCTGTTTTTTAACCTTTTGGTTTGTAGGCCCCTGAAAATTTTTGAGGGAGGTTTGTGTCTTTCTCAAGGGAAGTTAAACCTCTTGGATAAAAAGCTTCCTTTGCTCAGTTATTTTTCACTGTCACAGGTCGTTGAAGTCTGAGTCCAACCCGCTTGGGTTGTATTTCCCTGATGCAATTCAAGGTACTTTGTTTCTCCTCCTGAATGGCTCTTCTGGCCAGAAATTTGACACATGCCCCACTTCTTCTGCATACTTTTATGATTATCTGAGGCTGCTGGAAAATTCTGTGCCCTGTAAGCTGTTACATTGCTCAAAGGTCTCCTTGCTCCTGGTATTTTCTGTCAGCATTGGGTTCTGTTCCTTGTGCCACCAAAAACATTCTCTGTCCCTGAAACTGAACCTGTTGGTTTCACAGATCTTACAGTCCCAATTCCATTCAGCATTCCAATTTTGATTCTTTGCCCAAGTGCTTTTCTGGAGAAGATCACACACTGAACAAACCCGAGAGGATCCAGGAAAACCCATTGTTGTTTTGGAAGTTGTATTTCTTCACTCATCGAGCAGGAGCCCGTGCCGTGAGAATGATCTCTTGTTTCTGATGGTTCTTACAGATAAGCTGCCTGAGCTTTGCATCTAGCCAGGAAGAGGTAATAGGACCCAAGAAGAAAAGGAAGGTCAGTGAACCAGAGAAGCCACTTCTGGAAGGCAGGAAATTATGTTCATTCTGACACACATGCATTTTGGAAGGTGTGAGTTTGCGTTGTCATCTGACTGGTGAAGACCTTTACTGGCTTCCAGTGTTTGACTCTTCCACACACCATGTGGGTTTCTGCATGTTCATTTGTCTGGTGCAAACCTTGGACTGTGAAGGGAGAGCAGGCACCATAACTGCCATAACCATGTCAACCAACAGCACTTGTTTCATGTTCTAAAGTTGAGGATTCATCATCCCATGTTGTGTCTGTGTGGTTCTTTGTGTCTTTCTCTCACCTCCCTCATCCCCTGCCCCCAAACTAGTTTTCCCCTGGGTGGCTGAACTGTCCTTTGCCAACATGTCACCAACATTTACTGGCACTATTTCAAGATGAACTCTCTTGAGGTGTCAATGCCAGCAAGCAAGAAGTCTCAAGATTCACTAGATTGTACTTAACTTCTTCCTATCTGCTGTTTCCGGAGCATAGATTTTTTTTTTTTTTGCAGAAAAAGGTTTTTATCTGTATCAAATACAGAGATAAAGTAATCTATACACATTTTCTGCTGGTGCTGGATGCCTTTTTTTCCTGACTCTGCAAGTAGTGTTGCTATGACTGTATTATCAGCTTGTTTTTAAAGCAGCAAGCCACCCTGTGGCAAGGGGCTTGGGCAGTTGTGTGATATAAATTGTGTTGAAATGCACCACATTTAAAACTCAACTTTATTGAAGGTACCTTGTGGTTGCAAATACAGGTAAGGAGAATGGCAGGAACAAAAGGAAAGATCTGCTTTGTGACTAGTAGGTTGCCTGGCAGGTGGTCTGTCAAGATCTAGTGGCTGTTACTGGGATGGGAGGAGCAAAAGGGTCTTGTTTAAAAAAAGATGTTCAGGGAACAGCTTTTGCATTTACTGTGTGCACATCACCAAAGAGAGGCTGAAATGTGGGACAGTGAAGAAGGGAACATGGTGAACTCTCCTTCCAGGGTAACGTTGGTGGCCCAAAGTGTTCAAATCTTACATTGGTGGGGAAATAAAGCACTAGAGTACAGCAGAGTAGAGCAGCCAGCAGTGTGGCAGCATCCCTGACATCCCAGATGTGCAGCAAAGATACTTCAGGACAGGACTTGAGCAGCTGTGGTTTGGGATGTAAGGTGTTTCTTTCATGGTGTGTGTCAGGCAGCTCTGTGGAGAGCAGCAAGGATCACTTGGTGAGTATCTGACCATCATGTCTAGGACACCTGACTGAAGGATCTCGGCCACCAGTCCATTGCTTGGCATGCCAGGTTCCCTATGGCCACTAATATGGTGATGTTTTCTGTTCTGGCAGTGCTTGAGGTTAGATATCAAGGATCTACTCATAGAACGGGTTTGAGTAGGAAGGGACCTTTAAAGGTCATCTAGTCCAATCCCCCTGCAGTGAGCAGAAACATCTTTAACTAGATCAGGTTTCTCAGAGCCCCATCAAGCCTTCAGTGTCTCCAGGGATGGGGCCTCCACCACCTCACTGGGCAGCCTAGGCCAGTGCTTCACCACCCTCATTGTAGAGAACTTCTTCCTAATGTCTAATCTAAAACTGCCCTGCTCTAGTTCAAGGCCATTGCACCTTGTCCTATCACTACACACCCTCTCCTTTAGACCCCACTGCAGAAAGAGCGATCTGAGTGATTGGCTGGATAAAAGGTGGGCATTGATGCATCTCTGGTGTTTTTACTCTGGTTGTCCATCTGGGAGAGCTGAAAGCCAGCCTAGAACTGGCTGGCTGGGTAGAGAGAACACTGAGCCTGAACACCCCTAGATGTTCAGTTGACCTCCAGGTAGCTGAGTAAGGCATTGCAGTCCTAGTGCTGATGCCACATCTGCCTGTGCTCAGCCCAGGGCAGACAGGCCACTGCCTGTCCCTCAGCCTGCAGCACTGCCTGGCAGGGCTCATGGCTTGGTGCCTGTTGCACAGAACTTGTAGAACATGAACGTTCTCCGTTTTATCCTCACTTTCAGTCCTGTGTTCTCATTTTTGCACCTGTGGCCTAACAAGCCAGTTTGTTCACATGCCAGAGCAAACCAGCAATCTTCCTTCTGCCCAGGTTTTGGGAAGGTATTTGCTCTCAGCCTGCACAGCCACGACAGACCTACCTTTTTCACAGGACAGCTACAACTCAGGGCCTGCCTTGACCTGAAAACTCTGCCCTGGCACTGCCAGACCCTGTGGCTCCCATATTCCTTCAGCCCACTCCCTCCTGTCTGCACCCAAAGCCTTGTCGTGTTGTTGTGTTGTGTGTATGGGAGGAACTCAAACATGCCTGGGATTCTGGCTGCTCAAACAAGTCTGTGTGTCTCCTGCTGGCACGATGCAGCGAGGCCTCAGGGCACACCAACCTGCTGGGTACATCTGGGAGCTGCCAAGTGTCCTGGGGAGTGCACGAAGCTACCTGGTGTTACCCCAGACACCACCAAGTAAATCCACAGCTTAGTTGACTGCACCATGTCTTGGTCTTGCAGCCATGGCCAGAGACTCACTGTCTCAGTTCACGTTGGCTTCTAATCAGCTATTTTACGGTAATGACTTTTAGTCATTTTCATTTCAGGCTGGGTTAGAAACAAAGTCACTTGTGATGAACTGCCACAGTAAGCGTCTGATTTTTCTTTCCCACAAACTTGTGGTTACCACCAGATTCTAAGAAAAGTCTTTCCACTGCAGATTGGAATCATCTAAGCCACTTACACATATCCTTTTATTTATTAGCAGTTCTGCTGGGCTAGCTAAAGGTAAAACAACCATTTTCTTGTGTTTCAGTCGCATTTCTAGTTAATACTCATTAACTGCCTTAATGCATGTTACACATCATCAACCTGATTCACTACTGACATAAAACAGAAGCAATTCGTTAGTAACGGTCCCTTGCCAATTAGTGAACTAAATTACGTTTGAACAACTTTCTTCAAAGATTCTCCTCCTCCTCCATGCATCATTTGGCAAGTCCCTTGAATGCTTTACAGTAATTGTGTGCCTGCAGTGAAAGGAGACTGTTACCTCTTCAACCAAAATAAACGAATATGTGATCTCGGTGCTAATGTGAGGGTGAGTAATACAAAGAATCATAGACATCCTCCCTTTGATCTCCCAAAGATACCAGCAGCAATTAAGATGACAAGCTGCCTTCAAAACCAGAATATTGGGAACATTCTGTAAGGGGAAAGCGAATGCTTGACAGGGTTTTTCAGAAAGTCAGCGAAGAAGGGGAGCCCTTCCTCATTTATTGTGACCACAGGCTTTTTAGTGGATGTGGTGTGGGTATCCTTCACCTGCCTGGCCACAAGCAGGCTGGTGTGGTGGCAGGTTCTGAAAATTGTTCCTTCTTTCTGGGATATAGTGTTTAGAAGAAGAGGGGTATCTGTTTCAAACTGAAAGTCAAGCTGAAGTCAAACGGAAAACGCATCGTCTCAACCACATCCTTAAATACACTGTCCTTGACAAGAAAATAACCCAGCCCCTACTACTGCACAGTAATCTTGGGGACAGGTGGCAACATTCATTTTTCACCTGAAAGCAGGATACTTTTTGGGATTTCCACTGCCACGTGTAATCCAGGAAATCACCTGATCTGGTTGCTGGTGCTGCTTTCAATTCTGGAGGGAGAGCAGAAACGAAACATGACACAGAGAAAAAAGGATTCTTTCACACTTACAGGAGAGTTAAGAGTTTGGCCACTGATTTCAGTGGAGTGTGGAGGGACCTCTCTCCATGGTGGTAACACAAAAATCATGTGATACTGTCCAAGTGAGCTGTGTGATCATCTTCTATCTCCAATGGATTTCTGGAGTGATACCAGCAAAATACCTTGTGTGTGCCTGCTATAAATGTGGTTAGAAATCAGCCAGTATTTTCACAAGAACCATTCTAATAGTAAACCTGTACCTGAAGAGCTGTCCCATGTGATCTTGTGATTTGGGCTGGAACTTCAATTTTTGTAGGTTCTGCATTCTTGAGTCAGGAGGTGAAGTGTGTGGTTGTGGCCTGCAGTGTAGTGCCTGCTTTTGTCATGTCACAGCATTGCTGTTCTTGGGGGCCAAGATCCTTGTGCCAAAAGCATCATGTCACCCTGATGGAATCTCACCCACGTGTGTCGCTGGGCAAAGTCCTTTTTTGTTAATGGATGAGTAAAATTTCATCAGGCTTTTGTTGTCATCACGAGGTAGGTAAGAGGGATTTGCATCTGAGCTGGCACATCTTCCAGAAGCAGCTTCCAAGACGCGTTGAAGTCAGGTTGGCACGTACATCCTTCCTTCAAGCACAGGCTGAGATTCCAAAGCCTCAAAGGAGTTTTCCATAGGAAACACTGCCCTGGGTATCCGTGTGCCAGAGGTGCCTGGATGGCATTTCCCAGAGCATCAATGACCTACTGTTCTAATGCAGAATCGATGGGTCTTCTAAATACCTTGCTGTGGAGTTTGACATTTATATGCTAGAAAAATTGGAATCAAGGCACTCTAGCTGTGGATTGAACACCATGATCACATGGGTGTAACAGGAATAACACAACTGTCCCCATTTCCTTGGGATGGTTTGTTTTGGAGGGCAAACAACTCCCTGTGCAAGCCTCCCTGATGTTCTCTTCTTCCAGCTAATGGTTCGGCTCTGCATTTAACACCTTTTAAAGGAGATGATCTTAGTCATGGAGAAGACATGCCCTTGAGCCTGGCTCAGGGAAGTTCAGAGCCTGTCACTGCTATTCACCAGAAAGCACTGCCCTGGAGGGGTTTGAGAAAGCATCTACCTGTGGGAGAAGGGGATGTGGTTGGCAAATACGAGGTCCCAGTTTCTTTTACAAGCAGGTCATGGTATATTCTGTTCATATTACTTGTCTGTCTTTGCAGGACGTGCAGAGGGGATGTTTATTCTGATGAAAGTCTAGGCTTGATAACAGGAAACCAAGTCCCTTCTGCAGTAAATTGACCTTGAATCACACACAGACCTTTTTTTCAGTAACAGAGGGTAAGGCTGTGCAAAACACAGGAAAATGGTGTCTCTAGAAAACAA